TCACTTTGTAAAAATTCATCAAGCAGAACACTTATGATTTATGTACTTTTCTGTATGTATGACACATGTTAAAAGCTTCCCAAAAGCTCCTAAAAAGGGTGGAGACAGTACACATATGCTTGTGTGTGTGTGTGTGTGTGTGTGTGTGTGTGTGTATAAATATGTATACACACATTGTTTCAGTTTTTATATATATATATATAAGTGTTTCTGGAATGATATACATAAACTGTTAATGTTGGCTGCTAGTGGGGAGAGGTGTTGGGGGATCGAGGTAAGACAAAGGCTTTTTAGTACTGTATTTCTGCATATGATGAGGTCTGTCCAGAAAAAGTCCAGCCATTGTTAATATAATGAGAATGGTTTGTGTGACATCCATGTAACCTGGCAGCCAAGAAGGGTGGACTGGAATGCACATGCATGAATAATGACGACTTCACTGTACTAGTCAGTGGGGGTGGTAAACACTGCTGAGTGAGCATGTGTACTGTGTGGCTGTTGCATTCAAAATGACTGAGTGAGTAGAGCAACAAATCTGCATCAAATTTTGCGTTAAACTTGAACATTTCTCTACAGAAATTATTCAGGTGATTCAGAAGGCTTTTTGGGGCATGCAATGAGTTCAGTGCAATTAAAAATGTAGCATAAATGCTTCAAAGATTGTTGAGAATCTGTTGAAAGAGATGCACATTCTGGAAGGCCTGCAGCAAACAGAACACCTGAGAATGTTGAACATGTATGGGCTGCAATCAGTAAAGATTGGTGACTGAGTGCAAAAACTAGAAGCCGATCTTGGGATTCCAAGATCTTGTGTTTGAGATTTGAAGCAGGAGATTGACCTGAAATGTGTCAAGGCAAAATTTGCCCTGGGATTTCTACTACCAGAGCAGAAGGAACATTGTGCTACAGTTGCTAATGACTTGATTCAAACTGCTACCATTGAATCAGATTTCTTCAAGAAGGTCATAACTTGGAAGGGAACTGAGGTATCATTGTCCTATGTACAGTTTTTCTTGTATAGTTTATCTTCCTCAATAAAAATCTCTGTTTTTCATATTACATGGTTGTATATTTTCTGGACAGACCTCATATATCACTACTAGAGAAAGTAAGGAATTTTTCATGAAAATTTTATAATACCATTTATGTATTTTAATTTTTAAACAGTTTTTATTTATTTATTTTTGGAGAGGAGGGAAGAAAGAGAGGGAAACATTAATCTGTTGCTTCTCACACATAGCCCAACTGATGGGAGACCAAACCCGTAACACAGGCATGTGCCCAACCAGGAATCAGACTGGGTGACCTTTTGCTTTGCAGGATGACGCCCAACTAACTGAGCCACACTAGTCAGTTCTTTTTGTGGTGGTGGTTCTGTTTTGAGAATTTTTGTAAGAATTTATTTGAGCCAAACATATGTGAGGGAGCAGTATCTCAAATGCCCTAGATTATAAGTTTTGCTTTTTTTCCTTGATCAATTTCTATTTTTTATTTTTTAAATCTTTTTTAATTTTTCAATTAGACTTCACCTACATTATTATATTAGTTTCATGTGTACACCCCAGTGATTGGACATTACAAAACTTACTGATTATCCTCATATATTGTACCCATCTCACACCATACATAGTTATTAGTATATTATTGACTATATTCCCTATGCTGTACTCTGCATCCCCATAACTATTCCGTAACAACCAATTTGTAATATTTAATCCCTTCATTTTTTTCACCCATCCCCCCAAACCTCCCATTGGCAACTGTCAGAATGTTCTCTCTCTCTGAATCTGTCTGTTCCCTTTATCTTTTTTTAGATTCAGTTGTTGATAGATATGTATTGATTGCCATTCTATCGTTTATATTTTTTCTTTTTTTTAAAGAAGACTTTTTAACATTTCATGCAATTCTGTTTCGATGGCGATGAACTCCTTTAGTGTTTCTTTTTTTATGTCTGGAAGGCTATTTAGCTGTCCCTCAATTCTGAATGATAGCTCTGTTGGGTAGAGTAATCTTGGTTGTAGGTCCTTTCTTTTCATCACTATGAATATTGAACATTTCTTGTCAATCCCTTCTGGCCTGCAAAGTTTCTGTTGAGAAATCAGTTGACAGTCTTATGGGAGCTCCCTTGTAGGTAACTAACTGCTTTTCTCTTGCAACTTTTAAGATTCTCTCTTTGTCTTTTATCTTTGGCATTTTCATTATGATGTGTCTGGTGTGGGCCTCTTTGGGTTCATTTTGTTTGGGACTCTCCATGCTTCCTGAACTTGTATGTCTATTTCCTTCACCAAGTTAGGGAAGTTTTCTGTCACTGTTTTTTCAAATTGGTTTTCAGTTTATTGCCCTTTTTCTTCTCTTTTTTGGCACCCCCATGATGTGAATGTTGGTGCACTTGAAATTGTCCCAGAAGCTCCTTACAGTCTTTTTTTGTTTTGTTTTGTTTTTGCTGTTATGATGGGTGGTTTTTGCTTTCTTATATTCCAAATTGCTGATTTGATTCTCGCCTTTATCTATTCTACTGTTGGTTCCCTATAAATAATTTTTTTTTATTTCAGTTAGTGTATCCTTCGTTTCTGACTGGTCCTTTTTTATGCTGTTGAAATTCTCACTAAGTTCATTGAGGATCCTTATAACCAGTGTTTTGTTATAAGAATTGAGTGGATTGCTTGTCTCCATTTTGTTTAGTTCTTTTTCTGGAGATTTGTTCTTTTCTTTCATTCAGGCCATGTGTCTTTGTCTTCTCTTCTTGGCAGTCTCCCTATGTTTGTTTCTATGTCTTAGGTAGAGCTACTATGTCTCCCCGGCCTCGCAGAGTAGGCTGATGTAGTAGGTGTTCAGTAGGGTCCAGTGGGGCAGCTTCCCCTATCAGCCAAGCTGGGTGCTTGAGTTGTGCCCAGTGTGTGGGCTGTGGACACCTTCCTGTTGTAGTTCCACCTTGATTGTCGTTGGCATGCCAGTGGGAGGGCCCCCAGGCCAATCAGCTGCAATGACTTGCTGTGACTACTGACCTTTGACCAGCTGTTAAGAGTCAGCTCTGCAGGGCCTCACCCCACAGAGCAGTTATTTCAGCGGGATTCTGGTGTCCTCTGAGTTCACTCCTTGAGTGTGTCGCTTGTGGAGGTGGTTGCGTGGTGATGCTTTGACATGGTCTGAAGCTGTCCGCTGGTTTGCTGGAGCTAGTGCTTCCCAGGCCAAGATCAGTCGCCACCTGTGTTCTGCCTGGGGCCACCAGACATGAGCTGCAAAGTCATTGCTGGTGGCTGCTGCTTATGCTGGGCTGGAGGTGCCCAGGCAAAGATGGCTGCTCCTAGTGCCAGGGCTGGGGCCACTTAGTGAGAGGTATGGGGCCCTCTAAGTCTAGGTGCTGCTTGTTTGAGAGATTTTAGGAAAATCTGAAGCATGAGCCAAGACAGTCCATTTGTATGGAAAAGCCAGTGTAAACAGCTTGGGTGGGCCTGAAAATTGGTGGGTGCGGGGACTCAGGTAATCACCAGGGCAGGGCAAACGGTGTCAGCCAGGTTCGTGGAGACGCAGATGTAGTGTCCACCTGCTGGCTCTATGGGGACAGGACTCATCAAAGGAAAAGTGGTCTCTGCCTTTCCAGCTCTTACCCTGATGCTAGACAATTCCGTTTCTTTCTGTATGTTTGTGGTGCCTTTCAAGCTGCTGCCTCAGTGCTGGAGCTCAGAGAGAATAAGTCCATGCACAGGCCCTTTACGAGGAACTGCCTGAGACTTCAGGAGCCCTATGTCTGTTTCAACCTCAGTGCTCACTGGCTTTTCCAGTCAGAAGTTATGGAGACTTTTCTTCCTGGCACTGGAACCCTGGTCTGGGGGCCCTCACTCTTCAGGGGGGACCTCCACAGCTAAGATTGTCTTCCTGATTTTTATCCGCCACCTGTTGGTATGGGACCAGTCTTTCCCTCCTACCACTCTCAATGTGGCTTCTTTAAGTTACTAGAACTACCATTCAGCCAGATTGCAGGCTGTTCTAAGTGATGTTCTATAGGTTAGTTGTGATTTTGATGTGATTGTGGGAGGAGGCAAGTACTGCATTTACTTATGCTGCCACCTTGACCAGAAGTTTATAATACCATTTAAATGATAGCAGCAAGGTACCGATTTATGGTAGGATTCTGAATATATATACATATATATGTGTGTGTATATATATATACCTGTATAGACATGCATGTGTGTATGTATATATACACATATATATAATGTGTTTATGAAAAATGAATGGGAGGAAATTCAAAGATGTTAACAGATTTTTCAGGTGATAAAACTATAAATTGTTTTCTATGTAGCTTTGTGTTTTGTTTCTACTTTTCTGTAGTGAGATTATAATATTTTTCTGATAGACAAAAATATATGACCAACAGTCTCGCTGGTGTGGCTCAGTGGATTGAGCACCAGCCTGCAAAGCAAAAGGTCGTCACATGCCCTGACATTCCTGGTCAGGGCACATGCCTGAGTTGTGTGCTAGGTACCCAGCAGTTGGGGCATGTTCAAGAGGTGGACAATCTCACACATTGATGTTTCTCTCCCTCCCTTCCACTCTCTCTAAAAATAAATACATATATTTTAAAAATATATATATGACTAACTTTTTTAAATGCTTAATAACAGTCTTGATGGTTGTATGGGATTACTCTCTGTTACTTTCTCCTTTCTCACCCCTTCCCCCACACAAAAATAGAAAATTCCTCAGATACTGTCCCATTGCTTGTGTATATGAATAGCATGCAGCTTTAAGAATACAGACATGGCCCAAGTTACAGGCTTCCAGTAGAACCAGGTATTATTATGCTGAAGAAACAGTCCAGAAGGAAACGAGAAGTTCGCCTACCCTGACAGCTGTGTCGCCTGTCTTTCCTGCTATCGTGATTTGGTGTGTAGCTTTGTTTCAAGCTACTGTTTTCTGTAGTAACGTGACCAAGACCGTTTCAGTTAGGCAATATTGAACGATCCTTTCTCTGCTCTTCTTTATTATGTTTTTAGAATAACTGCACAAAGACTTGCCCACTTGAACAAGTGCTTGATGAACTTTAAGCTAGGGAATTTCAGCTATCAGAAGCACCCCCTGAAACTGGGAGAGCTTCAAGGGAATCACTTCACTGTTGTTCTCAGGTAAAGAACTGGTGGTTGGATGCAGACCCCAGAAGGTCTTGATGGGTCACTTGGCGGGTGTACAGAACAGTTGCTAATCCATGTGAGCTGGTAGTAGCAGGCACGGCAGCAAGGTGAGGCAGAGTGGGGCCTCATAGGGCTGGGGGGGCAAGTACTGCTGGAGTATTTTTTGCCACCACCACCACCCCTCTAAAAACTTAGCACCTGACCTTTGGAGAGATGCCATTTCCTTAAATACTGTGTAAAAAACAAGAGTCCCTCATTCCACTTATGTGCAATACCTAGAATAGGTAAATCATAGACACAGAAAGTAGAATGTTAGCTGAGACGGGGTGGAGAGGGGAGGACGGAGAGTTAGTGTTTAATGGGTGTAGAATTTCAGTTTGGGAAGATGAAAAAGTTCTGGAAGTGGATACTGTTGAAGGTTACACAAGACTGTGAATGTACTTAATGCCACTATATTGCATACTTAGAAATGGCTAAAATGGTCAGTTTAATGTTATGTATGTTTTACCACAGTTTAAAAAAAAAAAAGTCCTCAGGAGGTAGAGAGAAAGCTGCAAAGAACAAGGGGAAGGCATGGAAACCAAGTCATATCATTTATGATGTGCGTCCCTGAAGGTGTTTGACTGTAAATTTTTTTCTCTGGATAATTTGGGCCCTTACAGAAATATAACAGGAACTGATGATCAAGTACAGCAAGCTATGAACTCTCTCAAGGAGATTGGATTTATTAACTACTATGGAATGCAAAGATTTGGAACTACAGCCGTCCCCACATATCAAGTTGGAAGGTTTGTATTACATTTCTTAACTCTTCTCTAAAAGATCTCTCTTATAAAACAGAATCAGGTGTTGTTTTTAATTATTTCTGGATTTCCTCATGTCTGTGCCAAATGAACCAATGTGTCTCATCCTTTTGAATGACCAACTGATGCACAGCCTCCTTTCAATTTTTGTCCTGTTTTGAAATAATATATGCACAAGGTAAAGTAATAAATTAGAATTCAAAAAGGATATAACCTGAAATGTAAGTTTTTCTCCTACCCCCAATTGCCCATCCAGGGATTCTGTTTTTATTTTCTTTTTTACAGGTAAATCTTGGCTCAGTACATGACCCAACAGTAAGCAGCTGAGTAACTCAGACCCAGAGTAGCCTGACAGAAATAACACAGTTTCTAATCTCTGTATTAATAGGCGCTTCCCAGTTTATTAAACGGGGATCCGCCCTTCCCCAACTCTTAAAGAAAGCGCTGTAGGATGTAATTAGTGAAGTAGAATTTATTTTAAGAACTGATTTAGTTTCAATTAATAGGAATTCCCTCTAGGGTAAGCTAGGGTAGGAACCCCATCAATAAGTACTTGGGTTCATTACCCTGCTTAGGCTATATACTGCTGTCCAGCGGAGACGGTGTGACACGAAGTAATTACTCACATGGGAGTTAGGGTTGTGGAGCTAGGAATTAGAAGTGCTATGAGAAATTTTTTAGTTTGTATTCTTGTGCTTTAGCGAAGGTGAAATTTAGGCTCAGAAAGATTTGTAGAACTCACTAGTTGGTCAGCTGTCGTCCTGGGAGTTGAGTTTTCCTGACTTCCACCAGCTGACTACATGAAGCTGTGTTTTTCATATGATTTTTAAAGCACAAAATGGTAAAAATCTATCATGTTGTATTTTCTCTACCTCTTTGAGGCACTGTTGTAAAGGTTAAAGTGCAGGCAGTGAAGTCAGACTACAGTGAGCCTCAGATTACTCATCAGTAATCTGAGTAATCTGGTAAAATGAAATGAGGTATTGTCTATGCAGCACCTGTTTCTCTGCCTGGAATATAGTTAATGCTCAATAGTGGAAAGTAGTACTTTAAAACATGCTAACAAGAGAAAAAATTATTGCCAAGAAGAAAACGTATAGTAACTAATAATCGCAATAATTAGATAATAAAAGATAATTTTTTCAACCTTGCTAATGGTGAGGGTGTGTTGATAAAGATAATGAAGATGCTAATTGTATTATGGGAGAGAATATCTAAGGGGAGGCTGTATTAACCTTTGAATTGGAACTAGTTTGGAAAAACTGCCACCGTACCCTGTAGATTGCTACTCCAAAGATAGTATAAAATAGTTAATGAAAATGAGATCAGATTTATCCAGGAAAAAAAATACATATATAGCATGCCCTAAGCATAAAGCTTGTTCAGAAATCCAAACTAACAATTTCCACAATATTAGAATATTTCTTAGTTTCAAAGCTGCCCACTGTTAACTGGAGAAAGCAAGCTCTCAGTTTAAAGATGAAAGAATGCCTTGTATCTAAAATATTTAAAGAACTCTTAAAATTCAAAAACAAAAAGACAAATAACCCAATCTAAAAACAGGCAAGGGAACTGAATAGACATTTCTCCAAAGAACATAGACTAATAGCCAAAGAGCACACAAAAAGATGTTCTACATCAGGGGTGTCCAAGCTTTCGATGTCCGTGGACCACACTGGAAGAAGAGTTGTCTTGGGTCACAAATTAAATACACAAACACTAATGAAAACTGATGAGCAAAAAAAGGTCCGTACATAATTTTGTGATATCTGCCACCACAGAGAAGCAAAATAATCCTCACATAACAACCCTAATTATGCAGTAGACCTTTCAATGATCTTTTAAAATCGAGCATGTCCCAAGTTTGTGATCACTAATATAGAAAATGTACGTACCTAAGTAGTAAAATGTCATTGATTAAAAAAAAAAATTTTATTATAAAAGTTAAAGGTCAACATGAAACTCGGGGGATGTTTGACACTGTATTTGAGAAAGTAGTGCATAATATCTGGTTTGATAGAAGTAGTTGCAATTCTCAGTGAGTCCTCAAGGTGCTCATCAGATATTTTGGTTCTAATTTTACTCTTAGTGTGTTACATTCTTGAAAATAGTTGCTTGCAAATGTAAGTGCTGCCAAATAGTGATGACATGAATAAGGCGTGACTGTGAAGCAAGGGATAATTGTCTTTGGGAGGATAGGACCTATAAAAGTCCAGTAAAGAGACATGTTCAAATTTTTCTTTAAGCTGAATGTCAGATTGCAGCTCTATGCATTCCAGTTGAAAATTGGCAGATAACATTTATGTGACTGAAAATGGAGTCACACATATAGCAAAATATTATTTTCCCGGAAACCTTGAAATCTGTTTTCAAATTCTTGTATCAAATCAAAAAGCAAGGCTGCATATTTTTTGCTGGTCATAGGACTGTGTTTAGCCAACATGTTGAAATGGATAAAATTGTTTGCTTTAATTTGAACTTGCCTTAATTCCATTTTCACTTGGAATGCTGTTATGGTTTGAAACATGGTATGGATAAGTTCGTTTTCACCTTGAAGACACATGTTTAACTCATTTAAATGAGCGGTTAAATCCACTAAAAATTGCTAAATCTGTAAGCCAGTTTTCATCATCAAGTTCTGGCACAGATTTGTTTTTTGATACCATAAATGACTTGATAACATGTCGCAAATCATAAAATCTTTTCAATATTTGGCCTCATCTTAGCCATTTTACTTCTGAAAAGTAAATGATGTCGCCATAGTCCGCATCAATACTTTAAAGGAATTCCAGGAATGGTGATGACTCAATCTCTTGGCTCTTAAGAAATTCACAGTCTTGATGATGATTTGCATGGCATTATCCATTTGTAGCTTTTGTGCATAGACACTTTCCCTCCTCGCACAACTAAAAGAAGGACAACAACAAATTTAAAAACAAAAAATAACCAGAATTGCCAGAAAATGGAACTGTATGGAAGTCTGACAACCAAAGAGTTAAAGAAGAAACATTAATCCAGACCAGTAGGAGGGGCAGAGACAGACAGCCAGGGCAGAGAGGACTCGCGGCAAGGTGGTGGCTCGCAGACTGGGCAGTCCCACACATGTGTGTGGAGAAACTGGGAGGAACAGCTGGGGAGTGAGACAGACCACACAATCCAGGGTTCCAGAGCAGGAAAAGAAAACCTCAAAACCTCTGGCTATAAACACCTGTTGGGGTTGTGGCAGTGGGAGAAACACCCAGTCTCACAGGAGAGTCTAGTGGAGAGACCCACAGCGTCCTAGAACATACACAACCCCACCCCCCTGGGAATCAGCACCAGAAGGGCCCAATTTGCTTGTGGGTAGGGGGGAAGTGACTGAAAACTGGGCAAGAGCCAAGCAAGCAGCATTGTTCTCTCGGACCCCTCCCCCACATACAGTGTAACTACACAACCATGTGAGTTGCCCTGCCCTGGTGAATATTTAAGGCTCTGCCCCTTGTGATGTGACAGGCGCACCAGGACAAAGAAGTATGGCCCAAATGAAAGAATAGATCAAAACTCCAAAAATAGAACTAAGCAGTGGAGACATACCTAACCTATCAGACGCACAGTTCAAAACACTGGTAATCAGGATGCTCACTGAAATGGTGGGGTATGGTCGCAAAATAGAGGAAAAAGTGAAGGCTATGCAAAGTGAAATAAATAAAAATGTACAAGAAACCAACAGTAAAGGGAAGGAAACCAGGACTCAAATCAATGATTTGGAGCAGAAGGAAGAGATAAACATTCAAGCAGAACAGAATGAAGAAACAATTCAAAAACAGGAGAGGCTTAGGAACCTCTGGGACAACTTTAAATGTTCCAACATCTTAATCATAAGAGATGCCAGAAGGAGAAGAGGAAGAGCAAGAAACTGAAAACTTATTTGAGCAAATAATGAAGGAGAACTTCCCCAATCTGGTGAAGGAAATAGACTTCCAGGAAGTCCAGGAAGCTCAGAGAATCCCAAAGAAGCTGGACCCAAGGAAGCATACACAAGGGCATGTCATAATTACATTACCCAAGATTAAAGATAAGGAGAAAGTCTAAAAAGCAGCAAGAGAAAAGGAGACAGTTACCTACAAAGGAGTTCCCATAAGACTCTCAGCTGATTTCTCAAAAGAAACATTGCAGGCAAGAAGGGGCTGGCAAGAAGTATTCCAAGTCATGAAAAGCAAGGACCTACAATCCAAGATTACTCTATCCAGCAAAGCTATCATTTAGACTGGAAGGGCAGATAAAGTGCTTCCCAGATAAGGTCAAGTTAAAGGAGTTCATCATCACCAAGCCTTTATTATGTGAAATGTTAAAGGGACTTACCTAAGAAAAAGAAGATCAAGAACTATGAACAGCAAAATGACAAGCTTACAGCTATCAACAACTGAACCTAAAACAAAAACAATCTAAGCAAATAAGTAGAACAGGATCTCAGAAATGGAGATCAGAGGGGAGAAGGAGGGGGGAGAATTGGGGAAAAGGTACAGGGAATAAGAAGCATAATTGGTAGGTACAAAACAGACGGGGGGAGGTTAAGATTAGTATAGGAAATGGAGAAGCCAAAGAACCTACATGTAGAGCCCATGGACATGAACTAAGGCAGAGGGGAATGTTGAGGGGGGGGGACTAGGGGGGAGGGGAATAAAGGCGAGGGAAAAAATGGGAGAAGTGTAATCACATCAGTAAAATATATTTTTAAAAAAAGAATATTGAAAATATACCCACACATAAATATACACTAATGATTAGAGCAGCTAAAAAACAGAAACAATCCAGATTGTTCAAATGATAAAGAAAGTGTGATATATCTATACAATGGTAAGTTATTCAACAATAAAAGGAAATGAAGTACAAATACATGCTACAATATGGATGAACCTTGAAAACATCATTTTAAATGACAGAAGCCAGTCACAAAAGACAGCATATTATATGATTCATTTATATGAAATATCCAGGATAGACAAACCCATGAAGCCAGAAAAGTTAATCATTGGTTGCCTAGGTCTGGGCTGGAGGTAACGGAGAGTGACTGCTGATGAGTATAGGATTTCTTTTTGGGGTGATGAAAATGTTCCAGCATTGAATTATGATGTTGCACAATTGTGAGTATACTAAAGTCATTGAATTGTACACTTAAATAGGTGAATTACATGATATGTGAATTTTTCCTCAAGAAAGATGTTTAAAACAAAAGAAGATAGAATAAACACTTGCACATATGGTCAAATGATTTTCAACAAGAATGACAAAACCATTGAGTGGGGAAAGAGTGTTTTTTTAATAAATAGTGTTGGAGAAACTGGATATGTACATGGCAAAGTAAAAATGATGTTAGACCCTTACCTTAGACCATATACAAAAATTAACTTAAGTGGATCCAAAACCTAAATTTAAGAACTACAGCTAAAAAATTAGAAGAAAACAGAGAAAGAAATCTTCCTGGCATTAGATTTGCTAATGATACAGCACCAAAGCATAGATACCAAAAGAAAAAAATAGAAATTGGACTTCATGAAAATTAAAAATATTTGTGCCCAGGCACATGCTCACACCCAGCTCAAGCTGGTGGCGGCAGCAGGGAACTCTGACTTCTGGGACACAGGCATATTCTCTGTGGAAGACCTGGTGGGGAGGGTGAGGAGCAGCAAGAGCACCAGTGAGGACCACTCGCAAGGTGAGGACAGGGGTGTTGGAATAACTGGGATGGCGAGGATGACGAAAAAGGAACAGAAGCAAAAATTTCAGAAAATAAAAATAATAAGATAAAAGAACAAACAGCAACAGAGGAAAAGGCAAGAAGTTAAAAAGAGGTTAAAAGAACCTAAACTGTCTGTTAACCTAACACCAAAAGAATAATGAACAGATACCCAAACTGCTGCTGAAGAAATCACAGGAAGAATCAGACCTTGAATCGTCAAAAGAAACTTCTAGTGTTACTAATACAGTTTGTGGGATGGATGATATGAGCTTGTCTTCAAGAGATGACTTCACTGAATATGGAAAGTTACCAAAAGATAAAATGACACAATATGAAATTTTACTATATTATGCCGGTTTTTTGGAAGCCTTACGTCAAGATATATTTCATTGTAAATTGAGGACTTTAAGAATAATACCAATTCATTGACTGCTTTGTAGTGAAAATCAGAAGCAAGGAAAGCAAAGCAGAGCCAAAGGTAAGAAAAGTGTGGTTCCTGGAGGGGGTTAAAGACCACTGTCACAGCTGGCAGATTATGGTGGTTTTGATGGAAGATAGGTACAAGATTATGAAAATTTCATGTGACGTTTTCTCTTCTCCCAGTGTCTTCTTTCTGTTTCCCACAGTCCCTTCACCATGTCACACAACTTCCTGTCATTTCAATTCTGCCAAATGCTAAAATCAGAAGTTCAGTATCTTGCTCTAGCTGGTGTGGCTCAGTTGGAGCAGCATCCCATAAACCGAAAGGTCGCAGGTTCCATTCCAGTCAGGGGAAATGCCTAGGTTATGGGTTCAGTAGGTTACAGTTCAATCGGGGGTGGGGGGGGGGGGACGGGGGCAGGTGTGTGTGTGTTCCTCTTCCTCTCTCCCCTTTTCCCCCTCCCTCTCTCCCTTCCCGTCTCTCTAAAATCAATAAGCAAGTCCTCCAGTGAGGATTAAAGAAGAAGTGCTACATCTTATGTGATGCTTATTTAATCCCTTAACACTTAGATGCTAATGTGCAAATGAAGGAATTTGGATCTTCCTGCAAAGAGGTTAAAATTGGGAATTTCTGTTACTACTTTGGAAAATGATATAGGGATTCCTCACAAATTAAACATCAAATTACTGTGTAATTCAGCAATTCTGTTTCTGGGTATGTACCCAAAAGTAGTAAAAGCAGATATTTATACACCCATGTTATAAGAGAATTAATCACAATAGCCAAAAGGTGGAAATAACCAAGTGTCCATTAACAGATGAATGGATAAACAAAATGTGATACGTAGATACCATGAAATATCACTCAGCCTTAAAGAGGAAGAAAATTTGGACACATGAATAAACCTTGAAGACTTTTATGCTAAGTGAAATAAAACAGTCAAAAAGAACAAATATTATATAATTCCTCTTATATGAGATTCCTAGAGCAGTCAAATTCATAGACAAAATAGCATGGTGGCTTCCAGGAGCTGGGGGTAGAGGAAATGGTGAGTTACTTTTTAATGTGTAGAGTTTCAGTTGTGGAAGATTAAAAAGTTCTGGAGGCAGATGGTTCTGACGATTTCACAACAGTGTGAATGTAGTTAATACCACAGAACTCTACACTTAAAAATGGCTAAAATGATAGAATGATGTATATTTTACACATTTAAAAAAGTTGGTACATGGAAAGATAACCATGTAAAAGTAGAAAACATTTTTATGTGTAGTGGGCCAGAGTGGATGGCCTGTTGTAAACCAAATATATACATACTTAATAAGACAGCATAAACTAAACCTTCATGTAAATGGTAACATCTTAAAGATGTTGGGAGTCCTGTAGTTAAACTTTTCAATATATTATACCAGGTCTTGGAAAACTTTTTCTTTCAAGGGTTAGATAGTAAAGATTAGGATTTGTGGGCCATAGAGTATTTGTAGCAGCTACAGTAAGTTCTTAACGTAACATTGTCAATAGTTTCTTGGAAACTGATTTTATGTGAAATGATGTATAACAAAACCAAATTGACCAATCAATTTCGCTAACTGATATAAACAAGTTCCTACAGCATATTCCTGGTCACAAAAACACCAAACTTCTAAATAAAAACCCAAAATACTTATAATATTAAACATTGAAATCAATGTGAGCAATACATACATTTAAGTAAAATGATTAAAAACAAGTCAGCTAATGATTTTCCAACCTGCTTATTTCAGTTCGGGTCTCGGGTGTCTGAAGTACCTCCCAACAGCCCAGGCACCAGGTGGACACCCACCCTGGACAGGATGCCCTTCCATTGCTGGGTGCACTCACACCCATACTCACTCATTCTGCACAAGGTAGACATGCCAAGTAACCCAGTGTGCCCATCTTGGGATGTGAAAGGAAACTAGAAGACCCAGAGAAAACCCATGCAGCCATGGGGAGAACATGCCGACTCCACACAGACAATGGCCCCAGCCAGGGTGCTATTTTTTTCTTATCAATGTAACAACGAAATGAAATGACCTTATATGAAGACCTGCTCTACTCACCTCTGCTGTTACAGTGCAAAATCATCTGTACACAATGTGTAAATAAATGAATATAGTTGTTTTCCTATAAAACTATTTACAAAATGAAGTGGCTAGGCAGATAACAAAGGTTTTTGAGCATAGAAGTCTTTTTCCATGCTATCTGGAAGACCAATGCCTAGTCCTGAGTTAGTACTGTACTCTTTTTGGAAGTGTTGCTAAAGGCCTTGTCAGCTAAGTATTGTGTCACCCAGGAGTGTATTTAAAGATTGATATAACATGGCTTGTTCCAGGACTTCAGGGATGGCTATCAGTAGTAAATCTGGTAATGTAATTCGTTGTATTTGTAGATTTAAAATCCATATGATCTCATTAATAGATACTAAACAACAACTTCATACAATTTAATATGCAAAATATGCCAGGTAGATTAACTTCAATGTAAAAAATAAAAATCCTAATTAACTAGAAAAACAGCAAAATTAATAGAAAGGATTTTTATATTCTTTTGTTAGGGAAGGCCTTTCTAAGCATGACTCCAAAATGAGAAATGTTACCTGAAAAAAATTTCAGGTATGATACATACAGTGTAACTTCTGTATAGCAAAAGACAATATAATAAAAATTAAAGGAAAATTGGATGCACTTACAGATGCATCAGAAAAGCTTTAAAAAATATAAAGTGTTAACTGTTTAATTCCTTACAGACTAGATAACTGGTAACCTTAGATACTATTTACTTTTTAAGAAACATGTATAACTTAAAATCAGAAAATGATATTCCCATTGTGGAAAGAATAATGGAGAAGGATAAATTATATTTATTCTGTTTGACTAGGCAAGAAGATTTTGAAAAACATGGGGAGAAATTTTTTGAGAAGTTTCAAATAAGTTTTGGCACCTAAAAACATAACTTTTATTTATAGAGATAATACCATGTATAACAATTAAAAGCATGACTATGTAGTATTTATACTTTTTAATAAAATTTATAGAATTTTAAAACTGAAATGATATTAAATATTAAGTAAACAAGTTTTTTTATTCGGTTTTGGGGGGGGGGGCGGAGTTTGATAACTAGAAAGCTCCTGGTCCAAATTTGTTCTGTATCTCTGAAGACATTAACTGAAGGAACAAAATACACACTAGGGAACAGACTGGGTCTTTGTTGTGATGAAACAGCTTCAGCTATTTGGCTGAGGGAGTTGGACTTTACTATAAAAGGTGGTGCTCAGTCTGGTAGAATGGGCTCTTTGTTTTTTATTTCAGCATTTACATTTGAAGTCTACATATTTTTCAGTTTACTTTTTTTTAAAGATGTTACTTATTTTTAGAGAGAGAAGAAGGGAGGGGGAAAGAGGAGCAAAATGTTGATATAAGAGAGGAACACTGATGTGTTGCCTCTTGTACACACTCCAACTGGGGCCCGAACCTGCAACCTAGGCACCTGTCCTGACTGGAAGTTGAACTGGTGACCTTGTAATTTGCAGGACAATGCCCAACCAACTAAGCCACACCAGTCATGGCTCAGTTTACTTTATATATAGTTTAGCAGAGAGAGAGAGAGAGAGAGAGAGAGTGAGTGTGTGTGTGTGTGTGTGTGTGTGTAGCATTAATACGATTTATTGACTTCACAAGTTTGGACATATAAAATTTATCTTGATGCAAAATTAACTAAATTAAATGCTGTTTAATTTTAGAGCTATACTACAAAATTCCTGGGCTGAAGTCATGGATTTGATATTGAAACCCCGTTCTGGAGGTGAGCATAAAATTCATGTTATGAAAAAAATGGCATATATGGCTAAGTATTCATGGAATTGCTATGAATAAAAGTATGTGTGGAAATTAGGGTAGTTATTTCAGAGTTTTTAAAAAATTATAAAATTTAAAGTATAGTTTATTTTTCATAAGATTATGTATACATGAGGTTTATAATTATATCCTGTTTTCAGCTCTTTAGCTCATCTAATTTATTAATTCATAAATGAAGGTATTCATTTCTTTCTCTCCATGTACTACTAAATATCTGAAAACATAGGAATTCAAACATTTCACTGGTGTGGGCAGTTTTTTTTAAGATTTTATGTATTTATTTTTAGAGAGAGGGGAAGGGAGGGAGGCAGAGAGGGAGAGAAACATAGATGTGGGAAACATCAATCAGTTGCGTCTCATATGCCCCCACCTGAGGAGCTGGCATGCAACCCAGGTGTGTGCCCTGATTGGGAATCAAAACAGTGACCTTTAGGTTTGCAGGCCAGTGCTCAATCCACTGAGCCACACCAGCCAGGGCTCACTTGTGGTTAATCTTTAAAAGCATACTGTAATAGACTATAAAAACTTGGCAAAAACATGTTGAGGATCTTTAGTTTGAAGACTTCACTAAAACTTTCCAGAAAATATTTCTGAAATCATACTGTATGAAAATATGAAAAGGGATTTAAGTACTACTTCACAAAAGATCAAAGTGATTATGCCCACTTTTGGAAATTACTCACTTGCAAATTAAACTAGGAGAAAATTATCTAATTTTAAAGGAAGTAACCCATTAAATTTGACAGCATGGTAGAAAAAGAGAAGGAAGAAAGGACCACCAGGGTTTTGTGGTATGTCGAATCAGCTGGGATAATGTGAACAGTAGCTGGCTTTAAATCCTGGGGTGATGACGAAGGCTTCTAGTTTTGTAAACTTTCCCATCTTTTCACTTTCTGATGGTTGTTTTCAGGTCAGTGGAAGCTTTTACAAATAGCATTTTCTAATTTGTGTTCTCTCTGAAGCATTTTAAGTTCTGCAAATCTGTCTGTTGTATAAATTGTTTAATCACAGCTTTTTCCCCTCTCCAGCCGAAAAGGGGTACTTGGTTAAATGCAGGGAAGAATGGGCGAAGACCAAAGACCCAGCCGCTGCCCTCAGAAAACTACCTGTCAAAAGGTGTGTGGAAGGGCAGCTGCTTCGAGGACTTTCAAAATATGGAATGAAGAATATAGTCTCTGCATTTGGCATAGTGAGTGCGATTTGTAAAGTCAGGCAAATGACTCAAGATGGTTTAATGCTTTTAAATTTTATCTTTAAATATTTTACTAAATTTCGAAAGGGCAGAAGGTAAACGAGGATCCTGTGGTGATCTCTAAGAGGTGTGTTACCTGAGTGACTTCTGTTCAGACTCTGAACGTTCACGGGGGCGGGTGGTGGGTGCCAGCAGCATCGGCATGGTAATCCACATGGAGAACATGAGAAAAGCAGTAGTGTGGAAAATAATATCTACAGGGAAATTTAATTAAATCAACTGTCTCGCTGTTTGAGACACTCAGAATCCATTATCAGGTCCATTTTTTGATCATTCTCCAGCATCAGAACCTGCCTCAGTAAGCAGCTTGCACTATAAGCAGTCTAAGTGATTGCATTTTGGTTTAGTTTCTTCATGGTGATTCAAGTTGGTACCCACTCTTAGTATCCTGTACTAGTATTTGGATAGCTATAATCCAGAATAGACTAAAGTTTAACTATTAAAATTCAGTCTTATTTACTTTTCCCAAAGATGTAACCCCAAAAGCAGGATTCTTCATGAAATTAGCTGTTAGTTAGGTTTTCTCCTTACTTAAAATTGTGGAAGAGAAAGTATTGTTAGCTCTATAATTGACGTGTAGATTCCTTGGATTTGAAGTCTATGTCTTCAACTGAGGATATGAATTCTATAAGGTTTGCTTTATCTGCATGCATGTTTGCACTGTGGATACACTTGGGCACTTTAGCGTGAGGGGTTCCATCTCTAACCTTGGTTGCTACATGTTGGAGATTTAAGTTATGAGTTTTTTATGCTAGGGTCACCACTAAAGTCAGATGTCTTGGAAAGTATCATACTTGTAATATTTAGAACACATTTATTTCTTTCCTGTTTTTTTTTTCCTTTCCCCCAGATACCTAGAAATAATCGCTTAATGTATATTCATAGCTATCAAAGCTATGTGTGGAATAACATGGTGAGCAAGAGAATAGAAGAGTATGGACTGAAACCTGTTCCAGGAGACCTGGTTCTCAAAGGAGGTAAAAAGGCAGATACTGTCATTATTCAGTCAAACTAGGGTCCAGTTATTTGATACCAGTTCTTAAAATTGAGCCTGACTGCTAGTTAAGATGGAGAGATGTCTGGTAAATTGGAAGTGGAAGGACATTGTCAGCTCACATGTACTGTGTGGATCTGTGTCTCTAAGGAAGAATATACCTCTGATTTGAGTAAGCACCTGACTCTCCGTTTTTTCAGCTGGAATAAAATTTGGACTAAACGTTACCTAAAATCCCATTCCTAGCTTTAATTTGGGTCTAGCAAATACTTCTCTGTGCTTTTAGATGAATTTCAGCCTCTGGGCTGTTGTCCGCCAGTTTTAAGGAATTTCTTAACTCCAAACTGAAGCTCACTTTACATGTGGGCCATGATCTAAGAGGTGTCCAACTTTTGGGCATCTCTGGGCCACACTGGAAGAAGAGTTGTCTTGGGCCACACATTAAATACACAAACACTGCTGAAAACTGATGAGCCAAAGTAAGGTTTTAACTAAATTTACAATTTTGTGTTGGGCCGCATTCATAGCCATTCTGGGCTGTGGGTTGGACACCCCTATATGGACAGTTAGTGCACACTCTGTGCCCGAAATGTTCCTCAGACACCCAGACAGTCTCATCTGCTGCTGAGCCGTTACTGCGCGCTGCCCTTGTGCTAAGCCCTTCAGCTGTATCTTCTGGTTTAAGGCTCACAGTATTTATTACTGCCACGTATTCTCTCCATTCTTCAGATGAGGTCTGGTCACTTGCCCATGGTTCCAAAGGTAGTTAGAAAAAGAAAAGGCTGGGATTTGGTATCAGTCTGTTTGTTTCCAAAGTCAGCGTCCTGGGATACCTGGCTGCCCTGTACTGTTCTGAAGACAAGCCTGCTCATCTGCAGGTGTGCCTGTTGAATCCACTGAATTATTTTTTTCTGATTTAATATTTTTCTTCCCAGTGTGCCAGTCCTGCTGAGCTGGCCCCAACAGGCGGGCAGGCTGCCCTAGGGAGGCAGGGAGGGGGGCACTGGGCCAGCCTGTGGGTGCCGAATTTCTGCACTGCCCCCAACTGCACACGGAAGAGCATGCAGTCGGATCTGGCCTTCTGGTTCCTGCAGGATCGAGCCAGATGCCAGCACTGGGTGAAAAATTGTAGGAGAGCAGTCTTAGAATATAAAACACCTGATCAATGAAATAAACACTATCAATTATGTGCCAAACACTTGGAGACCTCTATGATCTCTAGAACTAGTCCTTATAGGACAGTTCTTTGAGATAATACAATATCAACAGTATGTGATCTTACCAGTCATTTGAACAATCCACATAGTAGACACAGAAAATAAATAAAAGAATTGTTGACAAAACTTCTGAACAGGAACAAAAACATAAAGAAATATACAGTGATACTCAAAATGCAAGTGCAGAAGAAGGGGGTGGAGAACAAGAAGACATTTTACATTTAGTAAAATGAAGAGAAGGAAAACAGAATACTTAAAATCTTTATTTGGAATTTTTATTCTCATGGGCAAACAAAACATACCTCTTGATGGATATGAAGCTGATGAACTCCTGATAACTTTCAAGCACTGCTGAAGTGCCAGGTAAATGCTGGTGAAGAGGCTCTGACAAAGTGCTTCGAGACAGCAGCAGTCAACATAGTGTTCTATTAAAGAACACAACAGAAACAGAATCTAGAGATCTGTGGGAGCTGCATTTGGAACAAAACCCTCAAGGAAGTGAGAGACTCGCTTCTTTTCAGTTATCACTGACAACATAGTGGACATAGCAGGGGAAGAGCACCTGCCTGTGTTGGTGAGGTTTGTTGACAAATTTTACAACCTAAAAGAGGAATTTGTGGGCTTCCTGCCTTACGAAGCTGATGGTGAAATTTTGGCTGTGAAATTTCACGCTACGATAACTGAGAAGTGGGGATTAAACAGGGAGTATTGTCATGCCAGACTTACATTGTGTCCAGTGGATTTTCTTCCAAAATGACAGTTGGTGCTTCTAGACTTTTAGAGAAATATCCCCAAGCTGTCTACACATCTGCTCTTCCTGTACCTTAGATGTGTGGCTGGCAAAATCGGTACCTGTTATGGGAGTATCTATTGCATTAGGAACAATTGAGGATGTTTGGGGTTTTTTTTCCATCCATCCCCACAACTATTTTTAGAGCTTGACAGTATAATTGCTGTCCTGTATCAGAACAATTAAGAAAGGGGTAAAGAACTAAAGGAAATTTACCATTGTCAGTGGACAGGCAGGCATGATGCTTTTGAAATTTTAGTGGACCTTCTACACAAGCATTTGTTTTATGTTAGGTGATAAAAATAGTGACACAAACATTTGATGTAATAACTATATAACAGGCCAACATTTGTACTCTAGTGCAGTAACAGATTTTTATTTCATCGTTACCATTGTCATTCTTGAAAATGTTCTGTCTTTTAGAAGAGCCTGTAGGAAAAATCTCCAGGGATAAACTTCCTACGTCTTCTTTGCAGCCAGTAGCTTTACTGCAGTGCTGCATTAATTCAATGCAGTGATGGAAAATATTGAAATTTATCAAGAATTTTGATTTGAGGAAGCCACAAGTTTGGCAACCAAAATTGATATTCAGATAAAGCTCCCTGGAAAATTCCACAGAGCTCAGCAAGGGAACCTGGAATCTCAGTAGATCTCTGAGAGTTACTGTAAAGAAGCTCTAAATGCCCCAACAGTGAAGCACATTATTCAGGAACTGAAAAATATATTCTCAGAACAGTACCTCAAGACTCTTAAATGCTTATCTCTTGTGCCCTCTGTCATGGAGCAGCTCAGATGCAGTACATGGGAGGAGCACCATGCTGATGTGTACAACACTGACTTGCCCAATTTTGATACACTCTCTGCTGAGGTGCACTGTTGGAGAATCAAGTGGGAACACAGAGGGAAAGATACAGAGCTTCCATCCAACATTTATATGAAGCCCTTTGCCTGCCTTACATCAAGTTTTTTCCTAATGTTTATGCATCATTGAAAGTCCTATGTGTTCTTCCTGTGAAGAAGACTGAGAATGAATGCTATGACAATGGATGAAAGTGTCTCCAAGCATACCTCAGGAATACTTTGACAGACCAAAGATCGAGTAACTTAGCTTTGCTTTACAAATTTTGATACAAAACATAATTGGATTCAATGGTGGACATGTTATTATTGGTGTGTAGCTAGATATTGATAAAGGAAAGAGGGCAAAGGGAACAAGACAATGACCTCCCCAGCTGTGGTACTGGATTGTTGGGGGGTATGGGGAAAGGTGCTGGACCATGAAGTCCTGTCAGTAATGGGGTGTGGACCCATCCAAAGCCCATGGGAACTTGGGGAGTTGATTGGTCATTTTAGGAAAGTACCTGGTCCATCTGAAACCCAAGCTCCTGGATATAACCCCAGGGGAAGAAAGAAGCTCTCTCTTGCTTGTGATGTGCACTCACACAGTGCACTCACCTGTTCTCATGGCCATGTGTCCCTAGCAGCCCTGTGGCCCGTGACTGTGCCACTCCACAGGCAGTCTAGGAGGGAGCCTGAAATGGATTACAGCAGGAAACACATGCTAAGCTAGCCGGATGCTGGACTGTGCTTTAATATAGAAGTCGCCCACACAGCGATGCACTAGCCCACTTGTTCTTCAGCTCTCTCGCCCAGAAAAATGCAACCATGTGGGTCTAGCAGCTACTGGTCCGCAGCAAATGACATGGGCTCCAGAAGGACTAAGCTCTCTTTCTCTCTCACCTACCTGGTAATATGCTTGTCTGTGTGCTCGCGCGTTCTCTCCGTATAGCCATGTGGCCATAGCAGCCACATGGCCAGCAGCAACGTGGACTCTTGTTACTGAAGCAGCTAAGTTACCTGGATGGAGACTTGAGACTGCTTAGCAGCCATCTGCAGGCTCCAAAGGACTAAGGTTTAATATGAAGCAAAACTCTGGACGCTGGCTTTTATCTTGGCCTTGCTGAGAACACGATTGGACTTTTTCCATAGCGAGACAGAGGGAGATGGGGCATTGGAAACCTAGGGGGCAGCTTCTGTCCCCACATGAATAAACCATGCCCCACCACAATCTCCCATGTGTGCATTCCTTGGAATGCTTTCCTTGTGATAGTGATACCAGGCAAGAACCTAATTTCCACTAACAACAGACACATACATCAGATTCTATACAACTGAGATTCCTACAGATAATTCAGAAACCATTGAAAATACCTGAGAGACTTTTAAAATAGGCTCTTACATCTGATACTGAAAAAATGTGTAAGAATTTTGAAAACATAGAAAAGGTATAAGGTGTATGTAGGCCACTTAATTACTAACTGTCTTGAGCACATTAGCCATTGATAATCTGCCTGTTTAAATGGCCCCTGTTTGAACTGTCATGTTTTTGGAGAACTAGCTGTCCTTCCAGAAGACAGAGTGCCAGGCTACCCTTCTGCCTCATTTCTGCTAATGGCACTTCGGAATTGTTTTCCTTCAGTCATTTAGATGTAACATTTATTATTACTGTGGATCAAGTTGTTGGGTATTAAGTTATCAGTTCTTTGAAGAAATAAATTTTAAGGAGGTGTGGGAGGAGGGAATACAATTTTATAAAGTTTTACAATGAAGCTCATGGCTAACCTTTGAATAGCAGGAGTTTTAAGTATGCTGTTAAAAATCTATAATGAAAGTTAAGGGAGTTATCAGACAATGAAAGGAACATGTGAGCTTGCCAAACACAGATTTCAGTGTTAATTTTTTTCTCTTTATTGAATGAACTTAAAGGATCAAGTTACAGTTAAAGATTGAATGGAAGAACCTGCCATTGTTGTTCCACATGTGGTTGTTGCTGTTTACATGCCTTTGTTGAACCTATATCTTCATAAGGTGTATGTCAAAACATTTCTGTTTCATGGCCAAGAGGATTAGAGGCCATGGATACTGACAACCAATGAGTCAGTTTTTTCTGTCTTTTTCCATTACTTATATCTACTGCCTCTTCCTGATTTGTAAGCAAAACCTGGAAAACCTACAAAAATGTATTTTATGGTTATCTGGAAAAATACAGAAAATATTGCTGTTATTTGGTGAAGAGAGCAAATTTTTATAATTTATTTCAACATAAAGTGTGAATTTTGTTTAAAATTTTTTAAAAATATTTTTTCTCACCCAGTATTGTTCACATACAGAGTATTTTAATGTCCTGTGAGCCACCATATTTTATCCTCTAACCACAGACTGTTTTTTTACATTGTTTATGCTTTTAACAAAATGTATTAATTTGAGATAGCTTTCCAAATAGTATTTTGTAGCACTGTTTAATAAGAAAAAGAAACTGATTGTCAAAAGGAAGCATTCCCCAAAAATGAGAGCAGCTGAAAAGTAAAAGTTTTAAGTTTGTATTTTTTCTAAGTCTATGATTTTTGTTTCTTGGGTAGAATAGAAAAGAGAAGGGTATATACTGCAACTTCATTTAAGCTTTGTAGGCCACAGAACTGTAGTCGCTTGCACTTCTGACTTCTTAGATGTGTATAAGTTTAGAAGGCTAAGTTCATGAAAATATTGCCTATTTTCCTAATGTATTCATTTGTGAATTTTTAGCCACAGCCACCTACATTGAGGAGGAGGATGTTAATAATTACTCCATCCATGATGTGGTAATGCCCTTGCCTGGTTTTGATGTTATCTACCCAAAGCATAAAAGTAAGTTCCCTGTATGGGGAAATAGTTAAACAAAGTCTAACATAATTAAGCCACTGTCTGCCAAGAGTAGAGAAAGAGGAAAAAAAATTTGTATTTTTACATAGATTTTTAGAATTCTGCTATCCATTAGATTTGAAAAATGTATAGATTTCAAACATATATAAATTATGTTTACTTGTAGAAGCTCCCAGAAAGGTATGCGTTCTGATGAATGGTTTAAATTAAGAAACAAGGTGGTGGTGGTGGTGGTGGTGGTGGTATTGGTGGTGGTGTTACTAGTGTTGTTGTTATTATTGGATTATTATTTAAATTTCTGAAATTCACTAGTTCTTACTAAGGATGGGGAGAGGGTTTGGAGAGTCCTTGAGAAACTGAATGGATAACTTGACTTTTTTTTAACCTTTTTTGCCATCTAAGTACTATCTTCTCATTGTGTTTTAAAAGTCAACAAGTACAGAAGTTAATCAAGTGAAAAATTAGAATATTATTTCCAATTCCCCAGAGCCTGTTAAGAATTACTTATGTTACCTTCATGGATGCCATTGGTGAGGGTAGGGAGGAAATTGGAACTTTTACTGTTCCAGGATTCAGAAATTTAAAAAAGAAAGCAGCTCTGAGCACGAGATCAACTTGGTGAAACTGACCCTGGAGGTTTACCCTAGCCAAGGCAGGGCTGTGGCAGGTGTTCTCCTTCTAAGACATCTTTTCTCTGAAGAGGCCAGAATTATTTTATTTATCAATGTTATATTCCTTGAAATTTTATAATTAATGAAATAATTAGGGTTAACACTCTTCTTTGATAATGCAAATACTTGTAAGAGTTAAATGGTAATCTGCCATTTACACGTTGATTAAGTTAAGTTGCTGTGTTCTTAATACTTGTGTGAGGTTGATTTTGTTGAGGGAAAAGGAGGAGAAAAAAGAAGGGAGACTGCATGGGAGAAATAGATAAGTGAGGGGTGTGGTCTGCCTGTCCAGGTTGGTGACGCAGTAAGGAACTGAGACCAGTACCAGGAACTAGCCAAATGAAGGCAATTAGATGCTCATAGCCACGCTTTCCTTCTTTCTAAGAAAGAAACCTCTCAGGATCAGAAACTTTTACTAGTATCAATTAAAACAAATTCAGCACAGCCTTTGACGGAGCCGGTCATGAAAACCTTGTGGCCAAGACATGGGCTCACACACTGGATAGGTGGTAATCCAGGCCTGTGGATTCATAACATACACACTTGTGTTGATAGTGAAACAGCACCAGAATGTTGCCAGCGATTGGACCTTGGTTCAGCAACCTCAGTACCTGAGTTCTGGCTAAGAAAAAATTCAGATACAAGCAAAAATTTATTTAGAAAGTCACAGAGGAAGAAGAATTAAGCCCTGGAAAAAGTGAGCCAGCTGGGCTGCGTGGGCTCAGGAAACAAGTTAACAGAAACAAAAGAAGAGCCCATGGAGCTTAGGGAAAAGAAGAGCGGAAAAAATGTACCTGGAAAGGAGACGGGAAGGTACTGACATGCTCCAAAGAGAAAGGGTACCGCCCTGGAGAAGGAAGTGGGCTGAGTCCTACATCCTGAGGGTTTTCATCTGCTCTCTGAAGCTGGATAACTTAGGGGCGTTCCCAGGAGAGGATCTCAACAAAACATTCAACAGCTTTCCAGGTGTTTCCTCAGGGTTGTGGTTTCTACTGATTGATTGGCACCAGGGCAGGGGGTCATTAGTGATCATAGCTGGTCCCATGTTAGCCATGGTGTTGCCCCACTTGACCTTGCTGATTTTCTGGGCCTGGGAGCTAAAACACAATTGAGGCTTAGATGTCATCTCTAGTTTGACCAAAGCTCTGTCTCGTGGTTAAGAGACCCGAGGCTTTCTTCCTAAGATTTTTTTTGAGGGTTTTTTTTTAAATTAAGTATATTTTATTGATTATGCTATTACCAGTGTCCCATTTTCCCCCCCTTTACAAACCCTTCCACCCAGTACCCCCATTCCCTCCAGCAGTCCATCCCCAACCCCAGTTCATATCCCTGGTTCATACATGTAAGTTCTTTGGCTTCTCCATTTCCTATACTATTCTTAACATTCTCTTGTCTATTTTGTATCTACCAATTATGTTTCTTATTCCCTGTACTTTTTCTCTCATTCTCTCCCTTCCTCCTCCCTGCTGATAATTCTCCATGTGGCCTCCATTTCTAAGACTTTGTTCCTGTTCTGGTTGTTTTAGTTTGTTTTTGTTTTTAGGTTCAGTTGTTGATCGTTGTGAGTTTGTTGTCATTTTACTGTTCATAGTTTTGATCTTTTTTTTCCTTAGATTAGTCCCTTTAACATTTCATATAATAAGGGCTTGGTAATAATGAACTCCTTTAGCTTTACCTTGTCTGGGAAGCACTTTTTCTGCCCTTCAATTCTAAATGATAGATTTGCTGGATAGAGTAATCTTGGATTGTAGGTCCTTACTTTTCATCACTTTGAATACTTCCTGCCAGTCCCTTCTTGCCTGCATGGTCTCTTCTGAGAAATCAGCTGCTAGTCTTATGGGAACTCCTTCGTAGGTAACTCGCTGCTTTTCTCTTGCTGTTTTTAAGATTCTCTCTTAATCTTTAACCTTTGGCATTTTAATTATGATGTGTCATAGTGTGGCCCTCTTTGGGTCCAACTTGTTTGGGACTCTCTGTGCTTCGTGGACTTGCATGTCTATTTCCTTCACCAAATGGGGGAAGTTTTCTTTCATCTTTTCAAATAAGTTTGTAGCTTCTTGCTCTTCCTCTTCTACTGGCATCCCTGTGATTCAGATGTTGGAACGTTTAAAGTTGTCCCAGAGATTTCTAAGCCTCTCCTCATTTTTTTGAATTCTTATTTTTTTGTTCTGTTCCGGTTGAATGTTTATTTTTTCCTTTTGTTCCAAATTGTTGATTTCAGTACCAGCTTCCTTCCCTTCACTGTTGGTTCCCTATGTATTTTTCTTTATATCCCTTTGTATAGTCTTCACTTCTTCCTTTATTTTGTGGCTGTACTCAGTCATTTTGTGAACATCCTGATTACCAGTGTTTTGAACTCCACATCTGATAGATTGGCTATCTTCATGTTGCTTAGTTCTTTTTCTGGAGTTTCGATCTGTTCTTTCATTTGGGCCATATTTATGTCTCCTCAGTTTGGCAGCCTCCATGTCTCTCTGTGTATTGGATAGAGCTGCTTTGATTCCCTATGTTGGTGCACCTGTTACATTGTAAGGGGCGGAGCCTTAGGTATTCACCAGAGCAGGCAATCCACTTCACCACTTTGGCCTGTATGTTGGGGGGTGGGTCAGGGAATAATGCTACTTGCTTGGCTCTCACCCCATTTTCAGTCACTTTCCACTTCCTGTAAGCTACTGGCACCCTCCTAACTGCTACCCTGGTGCTGATTCCCTGAGTGGGTGGGTTTGTGTATGTTCTAGGACCCTGTGGGCCCTTTAAATGGAATCCCCTGTGAGACTGGCACTTTCTTCCGCTGTCACAACCGTCACTGGTTTTTACAGCCATAGGTTATGAGGCTTTATTTCCCGGTGCCAGAACTGTAAGCTGTGCGGTCTGGCCTGGGGCTGGGATTGCTCTCTCCCCAGTTGTCCCTCCTGGCTTTTACCCATCGCATGTGAATGGGGGACCGCCTGTTCCACTTGCCGCAGCCAGCATCTCACTATGCATCCTCTCCACCCAGGCTGTCCGTCTCTGCCCCTCCTACCCATCTGGATGAATGTTTCTTCTGTAACTCCTTGATGGTCAGACTTCCATAAAGTTTGATTTTCTGGTAGTTCTGGTTTTTTGTTTCGTTTTTACATTGGTTATCATCCTTCTTATTGTTGTGCAAGGAGGCAAAGCATGTCTATATATGCCTCCATCTTGCCCAGAAGTCCTGGACTTGTTCCTCAGATTAGTTGATGTTTACCAGAAGTTCATTGCCCTAAGGGCTTAATGCTTAAGGGAGTGGTCATGTCAGGGCTCTTATTTGTTCCTCCCCAAAGGGGGTCTGCCACATGACTAGCAACGTGCAGAGGAGGGAAGATCAGGGGAGAATCCAAAGTGCATGGCCAGCGATAATGAAAAGTCATGGGGTCTAAACAGCATCACCAGTGATATGCTAGGGAGCAAAGGTCACCCTGGGAGCAAGGTCCCACTGCACAGTTGTTCATTGGGAGGCACCCAGGGCTTTCCAGGCCCTGGTGACCTTTTGTACCTCACCTACCATTCTTGCTCTGCTGTCTAACTGCCTATTATACTGGTGTCCCACAGCACTTGATTTAGGGGTTGTCCTGATAAGTGTGTTGTGAGGGAGTCTTTCCTTGATCCTGGTGTACCTAACATTTTTTATAACTTGAGTAAAGAAATCTGCTTATCATATTTGCAAATAGTGTAACCCAAAATAGTTAATATTAATTATATGAAAAAGAAGTATTTAAAAAGGTCATTTAAATAGGGTTAAATGTAAATTTTCATATGTATGCGCAAAGATCAGATGTATAAATAGAAAAGGCTCAGTTTGATACTAGTCTCCATAGAAAGTATCTGGAGTTGGGGGTCTAGATGAAAGAAGGTAAAAGGATTAGGTAGAAAAAAACCCGTATGTTGGGTTGGCCAAAAAATTCCATTTAGTTTTTTCTGTAAAAGAAAAGATACATTTTTCATTTTCACCAATGATTTTACTGATATGGATATTTCGAGTATGTTGGCTATCTCCCACTATTGGCATCTAGTGGGTAGAGGCCAGGGGTGCTGCTAAACATCTTCCAATGCAAAAGACAGTCCCAAAGCAAAGAATTATTTGGCCAAAATGGCAATAGTGCCAAGAAACTTTGCAAACCACTTTTGACATGATTGATCAGTCACAGCACTTTCTCCATACAATACAATGCACAAGTCTTTTTTTGCATTTCAGTTAAATTTTTCTGTCTTGAAATAATAATGTATAATACGCCAAAAATGTTGCTTATCTCTTTCCATCTTCAATATTAAAATGGCTGCATAAAAATTCACCAATTTTGATTTTTTTAATGCACACTGATAAGACAGCTGTTACAATATAGTCTAACAAAATTGTTTTGAAGTTAAAGCCAGCTAAGCACTACTAGAGCCATTGTACAGAAAAAACCAAATGAACTCTTTAGCTAACCCAATACATATAACACATAGACACAGACAACAGTGTGGTGATAGCCAGAGGGAAAGGAGGGTGAGGAGGGGGGAAGGTGGGCAAAGGAAGGGGGGATGGGGAGGAAAAGAGACTTTGTTTGGGGCGATGGGCACAGGATGCCGTGTGCAGATGGCGTTTTATTGGGCTGTACACATAAACTTATATGGTATTAAATTCAATTTTAAAAAATGCCTGGAGTTACTATTGAACATAAGCCTGTTGCCCACAAGGCAGATAGGGATTTTAGTGGGGAATGCAGAATGTCAAAGGAGGGACAGTTGAAGGAATCATTGTTTGGCCTAGAGAAGATACAGCTTAAAAGTCTAATAGTTAATACGTGTGGAAGTGGGCAGTTACTCCGCTGTGTTTCCAAGCAGTCAACAGAAGTTACAGGAAGCAGATTTCAGCTTGGAACAGGAGAACTTTCTAATTGCGTACCTCACAAGGAAGTAGTTCCCTGTAACTATCAACATTCAAGCACAGGCTGGAGGACTGTATCTCTCAGGTGTTAGGAAAGACGTTCTACATCAGGTGCTGCCAGGGTAAACCAGATGGTTTTCCCAGGTCTCTTATTTTTATGCATTTATTTATAACTACTTTCTGCCAGAAAGAATTCAAGGATTCAGTATATGGTCTCTTTCATCTCTGAGCACCTATAAATTGTGGTTTAGTAACTTCTGATGAAATGGCTTTTGGTAACTAGCTTGGGAACCTTACTCCCCAGATACTGTGGCTGGTTGCAAAGATAACTTACAAGTCAGCCAAACCTAAGATGGAGACACCTAGTCCTGGTTAGTAAGTCACGAAGTTTTGATTCCAGAAATTAGGCTGGATTGTAATTTAGCAAGGCTACTTTTTTTAGGGCAATCCAACACAAGTTACATATTACTCTATTTGTAGCCTAGTTCAAGGTAGCTTGCTGACATGTTATATTCCAACTAACTTTTTGTATTTTTTTGTTAGTTAGTGAAGCCTACAGAGAAATGCTCACTGCAGACAATCTTGATATTGACAACATGAGACACAAAATTCGAGATTATTCCTTATCAGGGGCCTACCGAAAGATTATTATTCGTCCTCAGAATGTCAGCTGGTGAGTAACAGTCCAGAATGAAATAAAATTGAATTACTATGTGATATTTTAAGCTTTCGAACCACATATATATTTTTTCAGTACTTACCACCGGGTATATAAGTGGTAATTGTTATTAATCATATTATTACTGCTACTTTTGGTATTTTTCAAATCAAGAAATAAATTATATGTAGGCTGGCATTATCTGTCAACTGTGATGTATAATAATATAAAGACAATATTTATATTTAAAATCTGACCCTGTTCTGTTATTGAGTAGTTCCACTATAGTCTACAATAACCTGTGTGTTTTCCTTGCTAAACAAATGGCACTGAGCGACTTAGTACCTTTTATGGAAGTTCATATTTATACTTTTTTTTACTTACGTGTTTTAAAGGGAAGTTGTCGCATATGATGACCCTAAAATTCCACTCTTCAACACAGATGTGGACAACCTTGAAGGGAAGCCCCCGCCAGTGTTTGCTTCAGGTGAGTGTGCTCGGCCATCAGGACTGTGTCAACTTGGAAATACTTCTCATACAAAAACATTTTTTGGAAAACTCTTATAATCACCACCACTTCCCATGCACTCTGTAATTTCTGTTTTGTGTTTTGTCATCTCAGTTTTATGATTATAATTGGAGGTCAGTGATTAAAACAGTAAATCCCACTGAAAAGGAGTGACAGAGAAGACTTTGATTTTAGGTGATTGCATATTTTCTCCCCATCCCCATTGAGAGTTAGCAAAGGTGAGTGAAAACCCAGAAAGAGAGTCTAAAACATTAAATTTACATTATCATTGTCAAATTCTTGTGCCATTCCTTTGTCTTCACCCTGTGCTCCAAATTTATTTATTTATTTATTTATTTATTTTACATGCATTGCTCTCCTGTGGTATTCTGTCATCTGCCCTTTTTATGACAGTTCCACAGCTCTCTTACTTCCCCGGCTCATTCTCCAAGGCCCCCTGGGAAGCAGCAGCCTGGGGAAAAGAGCACAGTTCTTTTGCTTGATTACGCCCCAGTCAGCCTGCAGCTGCCCTACTTTTCTGACTGTTCTCTTCTCTCTTGCCTGACAGAAGGCAAATACAGAGCTCTGAAGATGGATTTTTCTCTTCCTCCTTCTACCTACGCTACCATGGCCATTCGAGAAGTGCTGAAAATGGATACCAGCATCAAGAACCAGACCCAGCTGAACACCACCTGGTTCCGCTGAGTCCTTTGTCCCCAGATTAGAAAATGCATACAAATGTTTACTGGCTTCCTGTTCATCTTTCTCTTAGTACAGACTCATAGTGGATTTTGGATCTTTGTAGTGAAAGATTATTTGTATTTTTTCAAGTTTTTATTAGCTTAATTTGCAATATTTATACACATATACAAATCCTGAGGATCCTAATTCTAGCTCAGAGAATTGGTCACAATATATTTCAGGTGCTTAAATCATAGTAAAATGTCACCGTTACTGGCTTTATAATAATTAAAAAAGAGTTTGACTTAAAGTAGCAGTTTTAGATTTTGCTACATTCTTGAAGGACAATAGAAATTTTTAACACCCATGAAAGGAGTATACAGTAATACATTTTAAGAGAAAACACAACAAATCTCAACGATGGATAACTAAGGAGAGCACCCCTGACCTATGAATATTAATATAGTACTCATGCTTACTTAAATGATGATAAAGCATCTGGATTTATGAACACAAAAGTGATTGTCATTATTTAGCTTATATATCAGGTATAGGCAATTGTTTATAGATATTTTTAGCTGCAGTGGCTTTTGCATTTATATTATTGTCTTGCAGGAGAGTTGCATCAATAGAACCTTTTTTCTTGATGTAAACATGATGTACCTATTTTTATTAGTTAAGGTCTAATTTTTACTCTAGGTGCCTTTTATGTTCAGAACTCCTTCCACTGGACTGGTATTTGCCCCAAAATAAATGACAGCAGAGAAGAAACTTAAAAAATTTACAAGGGCTCCTCTTAACAGCATTAACCTTTGCCACCAACTGCTTAGGTATTTCCATTTCTGGCGTTGTGTAAAACTCTTCTCTGGTGTGAAAAGATGAATATGCCTTTCCAAGGGTCTGTGACGTAAGTGTACCAATTTTTATTTTTTATTATTTCTAGAACCAAATATAATAAATATTTTTTAAAACTCCTTTCTACTGGTTAAAGTAATAAATCAAATAAATGTCTAAAACTGAGTGTACATGATAATCTTAGCCCTCATTGAAGATAAGGAACTATTGAAGGATCTTTGAAAATGATGTGGACACAAAGGTGTGTCATGATCGGTGTGAGGTGTGAAAATGATACTATGTTTCCCTCATCTGGGAAATAGGGCTCTGTGTGATGAGTCCACTTTCCTGGCTGCATTAACCAACTACCAGGTTGTGTCTCTTCTTAAACACCAGTGGGAAAACAATGATTCAAGGTGGATTCTTCGAATTATTTTGAGACTTGGAGACCACCTAACTCTAGGGACTTGGGCAACTTGAAGTAAATCATTACCTAAGCATAGATGTTGAGATATTTCCTTGTTGTTAACAAATGGCAAAGTTTCTCTGAGGCAAATTTACAAAGTCTGAAAGCAACCACAACCTTATCCTCAACATGGAAGTATCATTATTTCCTACCTTTTTTCTAAAAGAAATAGTAAAGGATTATTATTTTAATTACTGTAAAACCAGCACTATTTACTAATGGAAAAGTAAGCTCAATAATCAAGCTCATGTGATCAACTTTTTATTCATGGTTTCTTGTGGTATATAGACTGCCATTAAGCTAATTAAAAAGAATCCTGGTTGATTCCTGAATCAACCAAAAAATTGGTAACAGCTGCAACAGTACATTAGTACTTAAAAATTTACCAGTATTTGGTATTTACACAGAAATGCATTTTGTGGACAACTTTGCATGAAGAAATAAGGCAATGATGTGTGTGTATCCTACACAAGAAAAAATACATACACACACACACATATATATATGTTACATTAACATGTAGCCTGTACTGATATGTCTGTATGTGGTATTGTGAAACATCAAAACAGGCTAGGAGAGTGTACCATGTAGTCTTCACACACACACACACAAATGAAAGCACAGTGGAAGAAATAGCTAAGGGTGGCCAGGTTCTGACCTTCATGGATTGAAGAGGGTGCTTGTATAGCAAAGGATCACTTTAAGCTTTTCCTTGTTCAATGAAATCTGCTTTCCTATTTTATAGGGCTTTGTTTCTGTAGGATAAAAATTCTTCTGTTTTGGATCATGCATTCCTTGGAAAATCTGTGGGAAAAAATGTGGACACTGTCTCTAAGGTGAAGGAAAGGGAAAAGTAATTCTCTGTAAATACGAGGGGGGACCCCCCAGAATGGGATTTATTTATATAAAACTGTGTATTTAGTCTTACATGTTTAAACTTTAGTCATCTTCAAAGTACTCTCCATTTGTTGCAATACACCTATCGAGATGTTTTTTCCACTGGTCGAACAGTTTTGAACTTGTTGATTTGATGCCTTTTAGTACTTCTGCCTTTCTTTGTTTCACCTCTTCCATGTCAGCAAAATGTTTCCCTTTGAGGCATTTTTCATCCAGGGAAGCAAAGTCACTTGGGGCAAGACAGATGAATAGGGAGGGTGGGGCATGGGGGTCATGCAGACACTCAGCACAGCACAGGCAGGTGTACTCGTAAATCACCCATCATGAAATGGGCAAACGTGTTCAAAGAGTCTTCCAAAAGTACTCACTGAAGCCCAGTGCAGCCTCTCACAACAGTGCCAGCTGGTGCACTGATGCAGATGGATTCCTAGAACACCCACCTAGCAGGAGAAGCCTGTACTATGAGGGGCCCACCCTCCAGAAGATAATTTGGGGGTTTTGGGATATGCTTTTGTGTGTGTGTATGAGTATACATACATATTTTGTGTGTGTATATGTATATATACTAAATTTTTAATATATTATTGATTATGCTGTTACAGTTGTCCCATTTTTTTCTCCCCTTTATTCCTCTCCTCCCTGCACCCCCCACACCCTTCTGTATCCATCCCCCCTACTTAGTTCATGTCCATGGGTTGTACATATAACTCCTTTGGCCTCTCCATTTCCAGTACTATTCTTAACCTCTCCCTGTCTCTTTTTTACCTACTATTTATGCTTCTTATTCCCTGTACATTTTCCCCCATTCTCCCTCTCCTCCCCTCTGATCTCTGTTTCTGTGATTCTGTTCCCGTTCTAGTTGTTTAGTTTGTTTATGTTTTTTAGGTTCAGTTGATAATTGTAAGCTTGTCTTTTTACTGTTCCTAGTTTTTGATCATTTTTTTCTTAGATAAGTCCCTTTAACATTTCATATAATAAGGCTTGGAGATGAGGAACTCCATTAACTTTACTTTATCTGGGAAGCACTTTATCTGCCTTTCCATTCTAAATAATAGCTTTGCTGGATAGAATAATTTTGGATGTAGGTCCTTGCCTTTCATGACATTGAATACTTCTTTCCAGCCCCCTCTTGCGTGCAAGATTTCTTTTGGGAAATCAGCTGACAGTCTTACGGGAACTCCTTTGTGGGTAACTGTCTTCTTTTCTTGCTCCTTTTAAGATTCCTTATCTTTCATCTTGAATAATGTGATTATGATGTGCCTTGGTGTGTGCTTCCTTGGGTCCAACTTCTTTGGGGCTCTCTGAGCTTTCTGGACCTCCTGGAAGTCTGTTTCGTTGGCCAGATTGGGGAAGTTCTCCTTCATTATTTCTTCAAATAAGTTTTCAATTTCTTGCTCTTCCTCTCCTCCTTCTGGCACCCCTATGATTTGGATTGGATGTTGGAACGTTTAAAGTTGTCCCAGAGGTTCCTAAGCCTCTCCTCATTTTTTTTAAAATTCTTGTTTCTTCATTCTGTTCTGCTTGAATGTTCATCTCTTCCTTCTGCTCCAAATTATTGATTTGAGTTCCAGTTTCCTTCCCTTTACTGTTGGTTCCCTGTATATTTTCCTTTATCTCACTTTGCATAGTCTTTGCTTTTCCCTCCATTTTACAACCATACTTAACTGTCCGTGTTTTGAACTGTGCATCAGATAGGTCAGCTATCTGTTCATCACTTAGTTCTAGTTTTGGAGTTTTGATCTGTTCTTTCATTTGCGCCATATTTCTTTGTTACAGTGTGAGCAGCAGAGCCTTAGGTATTTGCCATGGTGTGGCAACCCAGGGCTCTGTGTTGTGACACTGGGGGCGGGGGGTGTGAGAGGGAACATGCTGCTTGCTTGACTCTCGTCTGGCTTTCAGTCATTTCCCCCACTACCCACAAGCAAATTGAGCCCTTCTGGTACTGATTCCCAGGTGGGTGGGTTTATGTATGTTCTAGGACCCTGTGAGTCTTTCCAATGAACTCCCCTGTGAGGCTGGGAGTTTTCTCCTGCTACCACAACCCCCGCAGGTTTTTACAGACAAGAGATTTTGAGGCTTGCTTTTCCCTCACTGGAACCCTGGATTGGATCGTCTGTCTCACTCCCCAGCTACTCCTGGTTTATCTGCAAGCATGTATGGGACTGCCCAGTCTGCCTACTGCCACCTCTGCCTGGTTTCTAGCCCCTGCCTTGCCATGCGTCCTCTGTGCCCCAGCTTCCTTTCTTCGCCTCTCCTACCAGTCTGAATGAATGTTTCTCTTTTAACTCCTTGGTTGTCAGACTTCCATACAGTCCAATTTTCTGGCAGTCCTGGTTATTTTTTGCTTTTAAAGTTGTCCTTTTGTTTGTGCGAGGAGACAAAGTGTATCTATCTGCGCCTCCATCTTGGCTGGAAGTCTATATACTAAATTTTATAATGCAAATTTTTATACAATTTTATGAGCTTCAGGGCATTCAAATAATACCCCCTGCTCTATATAAGTGCTTGTCAGACTTGAGTGGGCATAGAAATTACCTGGTGGTATTGTTATACTCCTGAACATATTTCGGGACCTCCAGATGGAGTCAGGAATATTGGTTTCTCACGATTCCTATTTTAAAAAAATCAATAGCATATTTCACAGAACTAGAACAAAGAATCCAAAAATTTATATGGAACCACAAAAGACTGAATAACTTAAGCAATCTTGATAAAGAAGAACAAAGTTGAAAGTATCATTCTACTGATGTCAAATTATACTAAAAGTCCATACTAATCAAAACATCATGGTACTGGCATAAAACAAGCATAGATAAATTAAACAAAATACAGAGCCCAGAAATAAACCCTCCTTATTTGACAAAGGAGGCAAGAACATTCACTGGGGTAAAGACAATCTAGTCAATTAATTGTGCTGGGAAAATTGGACAAACATATGCAAAGAAAATTAAACTAGGCCACCTTACAATATACAAGAATCAACTCAAGATGGATTAAAAACAAATGTAAGATCAAAACCATAAAACTAAAAAAAAAAAAAGGTAGTAAAATCTCTGACATTTCTTTTAGCAATATTTTTTTCTGATCTACTCAGTCAAGGAAGACCAATGAAAAAATAAACAAATGGGACTATATTAACCTAAAAAGTTTTTGTATAGCAAAGGAAACCATAATAAAATGAATCTACTGAACAGGGGAAGATATTTGCCGGTAATATATTTGATAAGGGGTTAATATTCAAAATTTGTAATGAACTCATACAAAAACACACACACAAAAAATCCAATTAAAAAAGTGGCAGAGGAACTAAACAGACATTATCCCCAAGAGGACATACAGATGGCCAGTAGACATAAAAAGATGCTCAACATCACTGATTGTCAGAGAAATTTAAATTAAAACTGCAATGAGATAATATCTCACACCAGTCAGAATGGCAATCATCAATAAATACACAAAGGACAGATGCAGGTGAGGATGTGGAGAAAGGGGAACACTTTTGGTTGGGAATACAGATTGATGCAGCCACTGTGGAACACAGTATGAAGATAGCTCAAAATATTAAAAATGGAACTGCCTTATGACCCAGTATTACCACCTCTGGGAATATATCTGAAGAAACCCAAAGTGCTAATTTGAAAGAATATATCACCCCTATTTACTATAGACAAGCTATGAAAGCAACCCAAGTGCCTATCAATAGACAAGTGGATTAAAAAGCTGTGCCATGTACAATGGAA